TCTCTCTCTCTCTCTCTCTCTCTCTCTCTCTCTCTCTCTCTCTCTCTCTCTCTTCTTTGATTTCAAGATTAGCGTTGTGTTGTATTCCTCAAAAATGCATTTATGCATTTATGCACTCGATACTAAAAATCAAGATGTATCATGTGCCACTTGTGCAAGTCAATGGGTGAGCTAATGCGAGCGATTCGTTCCAGGAGACTTTTAAGGAGGCGAAGCATTATCTCGGAGAACGGTACGAGCAACGCCAGGCCCATTTGTATCGGCACATATAAGCGCTATCACACGTGCAATACACAGGTAAGTCGGCGTGTAAGAGTGATTTTCAACACGTTTATCGACAAGAACTATGAAAGGATTACTTAAAAAAAATTCAGTTTTTTTTATTTTAATGAAAATTAATATTGCATAGAAAGCACTCTAACTTGATCCTAATTCTCCCTGCATTTAAAAAATTATTTCACACAATATAAATTCGAAAAATATTTTCTAAATTGTCTTTTCAATCTAATAAAATTTACTCAAGGAATAAAATTTTGTTTTAAACTTGCTAAAAATTAAATTTTTATTGCAAACACAAACGAATGATGGTACAGATAAAATTAAATTAAATTTTTATTTTCAGAACAACTAATCTCTGCACCGCATGAAACTGTATATAAATAATCTTCAATTCTTAAAATAATTATATAAAAAAAAAATTGAAGAATTTTTGTCATTATTTCTTAATTATATTTCTATTAAAGCACATTTATACTTTATACTTAAATTTTTATCCAGATACTAAACCGTCGTCGCAAAATTTTTTGTATTATTTTTAAACGCGATCTAGAGAGTAATCTATAATTTTTTCATAGATAAAAATAGATATAATATATCCTCAAGCTCGATTTCACCATTTATATCAGTTTATATTGTCTGACATAAATTTCGTAAAAGAGTTTGCAACGTAAGGAAAGAATCTATCGTTTTATATGAAGAAGTTTCTGAAATTTTAAGGAAACGAGTCTTTCCGCATTGTTTATATAAAACAGTCTTATTTTCAGATTGTTTAAGCCTTGAATTAGCTATACGAATTCAGGCATTCTCATAAAATTCGCGTCACTTTCGCCATGTCGCATAAATCAATGTGTGCATATCTATATCCACTTAAAAACTCATGCACTTCTCTTTACAATGCACGCTTCTCAAGATTTTCCTCTCGAGGGTGCGCGTCACGAGTCTCGAACAAATCATCGCACGGGCCAATTAAGGATGCGCACGACGACGATTTATATTCTCGGGTTCGGAACGCGCGCGTATGTGTGCATGTGTGTGTGTGTGTGTGTGTGTGTGTGTGTGTGTGTGTGTGTGTGTGTTTGCACGTGGCGTTATTTAAAATTTATAAGAATAATCACCACCTGCGAGACTAAAGACCGTCGTGTAATGGATGGCTTTGGCCGGTATCGAAGAGGAAGAGGAAGGAAGAAAGGGCTCGCTGGTGTTGATTAGCTCTTGATGGTAGTAAAGACCGTGCGATAAGATCTGTTTACATCTCGACGGGCCCCGATCAGTGCTCATTGACGTATTGGGTGTTCTTGACTCACAAGCACTCCTACTTCGCGTTGCCGTTAGTTCGAGAGAAAAAAAGAAGAAGGAAGGAAACGCTATTTTATTAAGAGTATAAGTAAACGTTGAGAATTTTATCGTAATTCTTGAGTTAAAAATTGCTACGCGAAATTAAAATTGCGACACAGCGAAATTGGCTTGATGTTAACTAAAAAATGCAGCTTCGTTATCCGTTATTACCCGGGGAAAAAAAACGGGATCTCGTGCGAGAATATTTATCTTCGGGCTCGATACCCGGGGACTACATTTCCGAGCTGCATTCGCGATTCGCAAACATGCCCGGGCAAAGTAACCACCGTTTCGTTCACCGGCAATTAATAGTCTACCCGGAAATTGCAACATGGCCGTGCACGTAGCACACACCACACGTGCCGGCATTCACGTGTTTGCACGAATATACGGACTTCCTCTGCGGGCGCACGCGGCGGCGGCGGCGGTGGCGGCGGCGGCTCGGAATGCGAGCTTTTTTCCCCGCCGGAGGCCGCAAATAATTTTACCTTTATTTACCCGCAGCGCTTTGGGAAAAGCGCGACGTGCCGTAAAAAGAGACGCGATCGATCGCGTCGGTTTTTCCCCCTTTCGCCCCTTTGGAAGAGCTCGAATCATCTCACTCTTGATAGTAATACCGTTCCCTCGATCCTTAATTACCGTAAGTTTAATTAATCCATTACGTGTTTGTGCAGGAATGCCCGAACTTCCCGGAAGACTTGCGAGCGGAACAGTGCGCCAAGTACAACGGGAGGAACTACAGGGGCCGCAGTTACGTCTGGGTGCCTTTCGTAGACGG